GCTCTAGCTATGTACAGGTTCAAATTTCTTAGGAAGGATACTATAGCAATTCCAAGTTGTAATGATTATCATAATCAGTACAAGCGATTCTCAACAGCGTCTATACAGTGGCTCTCTTTTGTCAGTCATAAGGAAAAGGTTGAAATACGCCATGCTCTGAATGGCGGTGAGGTTAAAGTTGGCAATTATTTTCTAGACGGTTATGCAGTTGTGGGTGAGAGGAAAATTGCCTATGACTTTTTTGGTTGTTATTTTCATGGTTGCCCGTATTGTTATTCTCCAGAGGAGCTCAATTCCCTGGTGGGGAAAAGTTATGAGTTTCTTTTTAATGCGACACAGAAAAGGAGTGCCGACCTCCAATGCTTAGGGTTCGAAGTGCGTACCATTTGGGAGCATGAATGGAGACATATGGTAAAAACAGATTTGGAAGTCCAGGCTTATCTTGCAACCGCCAAATTTCCAGATCCGCTAAAACCTCGCGATGCGCTTTTTGGTGGTCGCACAAATGCTGTATGTCTCTATTATAAGCCTAAAGATGGGGAAACTGTGAAATATTATGACTTTACTAGTCTGTATCCCTATGTCAACAAAACAAAAGAGTATCCCTTGGGGCATCCTAAAATCATCTACAAGGATTTTAAGCCCCTTTCAAATTATTTCGGACTGGTAAAAGCCAAGGTTTTTCCCCCTAGAAATCTCTATTTTCCAGTATTGCCTTCCAGAATCTCTGGAAAACTCATGTTCGTCCTGTGCTCAAGATGTGCAGAAACCCAATATCAGGAGCCTTGTGACCACACAGATGAGGAGAGAGCATTATCAGGTACATGGTGTACAGTCGAGTTGAACGTAGCTATAGCAAAGGGTTATAGAGTTGTCGAGATTTTCGAGGTCTGGCATTTTGAGCATAGTTCTATAGATCTGTTTACGGAGTATATAAAACTGCATCTTCGTCAAAAACAGGAGGCTTCAGGTTACCCTCAATGGTGTGTAAGCAAGCAAGATAAATCTAAGTATATAAGGGATTATCGTGCAAGGGAGGGTGTGCGTTTACGTAGAAAGGAAATTGCGGTGAATCCTGCAAAGCGTCAAATCGCCAAATTGTTTTTAAACTCCTTGTGGGGAAAGTTTGGGCAGAGAACAAATTTGGCAGTCACAGAAGTGCTGAGAGATCCAGAGGATTTCTTTCAAATTCTATTTTCTGATGCTTATAAGGTGTCCATGTGTGAGTTTCTGGATGAAGAGGCTGTCTGTCTCTCGTGGAAATATTCCGAGGACCGTGTGACAACCTCTGGGCGAAAAAATGAATTCATAGCTTGTTTTACCACGGCCTATGCAAGGCTTGAACTCTACAAGTTGTTAGATAGATTAGGCAGACGTGTTTTGTATCATGACACGGACAGTGTCATTTTTGTGAGTAAGGAGGGGGAGTGGGAACCACCTCTAGGAGATTATTTAGGGGATCTCACAAGTGAAATTCCGCCAGATCAGACTATTACAGAGTTTGTCAGCATTGGTCCGAAATCCTATGGCTATAAATTGTCTGATGGTACAGCTTGTATGAAGGTAAAGGGAATCACCCTGAATAGCGCGAACTGTGAGAAAATTAATTTTACCAGTCTTAAAGACTTGGCATTTGATTACGTCTCAAACAAGAAAGACTGTCAGCCTCGTGAAATTGTGATACAGCAGCCAGGTATTGTTCGAAATAAGCGACCAGTGGACGCTTCACACGAAAACTCTCAAAAAAACTCAGAAGGTTGTATTTGATAAAAGAGTGATTAAAGAAGGGTTTACAACACTCCCTTATGGATACTGATTTGGAGACGCGTTGGCAGCACCCCTTCTCTGCAATTCTTGCTGGTCCTAGCGGTTGTGGCAAAACGTATTTTATAAAAAATATGTTGGATCATGCTGAAAATGTGTTCTCTGTGCTACCTCAAAATATTGTGTGGTTTTACAATTGTTGGCAGCCGCTGTACAATGAACTTCGGTGTAAATACTCCTTTATCCAGTTTGTGCAGGGATTACCTGAAAAATTTGATGATGATGAATTGTTACCAACCAATAAAGTCAATTTTATAGTTATCGATGATTTGATGCAGTCTGCTTGCGATAGCCTTGGTTTGGAAATGTGTTTCACACAGTATGTCCACCATCGGAATATAAGTGTTTTCCTCATCACACAGAATATTTTTTGCAAAGGTAAAAGCAACAGAACCATCAGCCTT